CCGTCCACGGCAAGGTGACGTACGCTGGCAAACCATTGGAACGCGGCTCGCTGCTGTTTAATCCCACAGACCAATCGCTTCCAGCCACGCGTGCAGAGATTCAAGCCGACGGCAGCTACGAGCTTGTCGTGGCCCCGGGCGATTACCGGGTCATTGTGAAGGCGTATTCCAGCGCCCTTCCGACGGTAGCCCCAGATCATCCGGACTACGTTCGCCCCAAGTCGGCGATTCCCCTGAAGTACGGTTCGCTGCAATCGACACCGCTGAAGCAAACCATCCCCCCGACCGACACCGTCATCGACTTGCAGTTGTAGACCGTGCCGGGGCAGGGCACCCGAATATTTTTGATTCCTACGATCTAATCATCCCCACTCATCCCAATCAGGAGTTGACGCATGCGAAACGCATCGACCTCTTGGAATGCCCGCCGGGGTTTTACCTTGGTGGAACTGCTTGTTGTGATTGCCATCATTGGCGTGCTGATCGCACTGCTTCTTCCGGCGGTCCAGCAGGCTCGTGAAGCCGCTCGTCGTATCCAGTGCACCAACCACTTGAAGCAGGTTGGCCTGGCAATGCACAACTACCACGACACTTACATCAGCAAGCTGCCATTCAACGGCGGTACCACGCAGATGCAATCCCCAGCCCCTTCGTTCTGGGTTCGTCTGTTGCCATTCATGGAACAAAGTGCTGCTTTTGATCAGCTGAACTTCAACAACATTGCTACTGGTGCTTACCTGACCAATAACATTGGCACCTCGTCGGCTCCTGGTACACTCGCCATACTGAATGTTGATGGCCTGTTGTGCCCTTCGAGCCCACTGCCAGAAACGGCTGACGCTTATCCGAAGTATCAGTTCACCAGCTATGTTGGTATCGCGGGTACTTGGGGTCAGGTCAATCAGGCTGACGGTTCGATCGCAGCGATCAACTCCAGCAACTTCCAGAACTACAACGGTGTTGTGATCAACATTGGTAACGGTGCCAGCGCTATCGGTCTGGGTAGCATCACCGACGGTACCAGCAACACGATCGCCATCGGCGAAGTCTCTGTTTCCGAACACGTGAACCCCAGCACCACCACCGATACTCGCTATCCAATCT